AGTTATATTTTTATCGGCGAAAAACTGCGAACTCGGCAAATTTGGTTGCACAACTTCCCTCTATCATATACACCCAGTGACACCGATGCAAGCTGACTGTGGCGCAGACCAACGAGCACAGACTGAGACGTTACCAAGCTTTAAAGGGCCGTAGTCGTCGCGCCACGCATGTGCGAGATATATGGGCCTCATATAAAAAAAGATGGCTACTTTGATCGTTGTGCAGACCAACGAGTACTACAACTGGGACATTACCAAGCTTTAATTGGGTGTTTTAGGTGATTGGAAGGTATTGAAGGAGTCACCGGCGGTAATTAGTGCAAGTCGCGCCCAGGTCAAATCTCATACAAGTACTTGTGATTTCTATTAGAAGAGCGCACTGGATCATGGGAATATCAATGTTTATCAAGACAAATAATGTCACACATGCGCAGCGCGACGACAACAGCCCTTTAACTATGTAAATTCTTTGGTGACTGGAAAGGTATCGAACGAGTCATCACTGTACTTAGTGCGCGTCGCGTCCAAGTCAAAACTCATACTCGTGATATTCATTTAATAGACTACATCGAATTACTGGAAAATCTATATTTATCAACAAAAATGTCGCACATGCGCAGCGCGACGACCACCACCCTTTAACATCCTTTATCACGTCCATGCCCATGACAATTTATTACCGATCCGAGCCGATTTTGGTGACTTTTAACGTGCTTAGATTTATGTCTGTTTTCCATCAAGGAATATTAACCACAATGGACTCAAATGATCAAATTATAGGAAAATAAAACCTTGGAACATTGATAAAATATGACTCATTTATTTGACACTGCATTCTTGTAAGCCGACTCAGCATTAATCACCAAAGAACGCTAGAAACTGCCAATTTAAATATAATATGTGTTTCCCCTGGTTTACATGTGTATCATTATTGAAATGAATAAACGGTATACTTTTCAAAAAATACGACAAAAATGTCCTTTTTTGTTCGACCAGTTTACGTCAAGAACGGATTTTGATCGCATTTTAAAGGTTTCGGTCGCATTTTGGTGATTTCTTTAAATTTGAGAAGGTAGTAGTGAATGCAATTACTGTATGGCTTAATATTCGCCGGTTTCTTATATTTATTTCGCTGACGAAATATCCTTTTTATGTATTTATGCCCAGCGATCATGCACAGTTGACAATAGAATAATAGTGTTTCCTTCACAAACCAATGAAAGCAAATATCCCCCCCCCTCTACATCAATAACTTTCACAATTAGTTCACAGTAGTAGATTGACATCTGAGGTCGTAATCGAAGTGAAACTACACTGTATATGATTTCTCAAACGCCGGCATGTATATGTTGTTGTCGTCTAGGCCACACTCGAGTGAGTCGAACGGTGTCGTGCCGCAGGCAAGTAATAAATTGTCACAAAGCACCGCGGATCCGGTGACAGAACTAGGTGAACTGTGACAATTGTTACATCATTCTGTTGACGTGTCCTTGGCACTCAAGACAGGACATGACAAATGGGGACGTTTACACGCAAAAGAGTTAGGATTTACGCCGCCACTCGGAGTGTCTATCGCCTGAGGTATCGAGTTGTTTTTATCCCGGTCACGGATGATATGAACACCAATAGATTATCCTGCGTACATATACCGGTATGTAGTCAACCAAATGCCGGGACCTCACGCACATCTCAATGTCTAACACGTCGACATCGGATTGTACGTATTCATCGGCATCGCAAAAATTGAAATTGTAGTTATCGCCTCCGGAATGGTCAACTTTCTGCAAAATTGTTGCGCATGCTTCTTGAGTTATTTGTACGTACTTTCATATCAAAGTGCGTGCATTATATTTTTACGGAGTTCCATTGTAGTATAAACACACGTTTATGAAATAGTTTGAGGCATATTAGTTGTTTCGTTTTATTTTTTTTTTTTTTTTTTTTTTCATTTTTGAAAAGTTGAAAATGTCACATTTTTTATTTTCGCAAGTCAAAGTCAGACAAAAAGGTTTGTCTTTTTTGAAACCCAGCTTTGAGCTGAAACTTGAACGTTTGGTATTGTCAAATACATCTGACATGTAACGTACCCACGTTTAAAACGAGTGTCCCACTGGGGTGGTGTAATAAAAAGAACTGAAGTGTGGTGATCAAAATTGTGTTATTTTGAGGGTTTCGTAGTAAAAAAATATAATTATGAATGATTAGCTTGTTGACACTTGCACTTTTCGTGTAAAAAGAACCAGGTCATGTAAGAGAACCAGGTCAATTTCAAAATAATCGATTTCCAGTCCGTGACCCTGACCAATCTCTATATTACGTGTATTTCGTGATCCGAGACCTCATTTGGGAATGCGCAAATCATTTAGGTTGTGCTGACCTCCTGACCCGAATGGTGGTATGTTGTTGTGAAATGTTATTTTTGTGTATGATGACCGTCTATCTTGTGGGGGGGGGGGGGCACCATTTTGTTATAGTCTTCAGGGGAGGGATACAGTATATATGCAGGCAATTACGGGAGGGTCGTATGCAAACACTGCTAGTCAAAATTACAAATATTAATATCTGTATCTAATTTTTTTATAAGTGATACTTGTAAGTTCATTTGGGTTTTTGGACAAGTTTTATGTGACATATTCTTTGATAGCATGAATATTTTCTAATTGCGCCCTCAATGATTGATTTTCGGGGATTTAAATTTTAACCATACAAACATACCATACAAACGTGCAACATTAATAAATTTGCCCAATACATGTACAAGTATCGGGATACAACTTTAGTTTATATATATAAAAACAAATGCATTCAGTGATACTTAAAATATACGTGAAAATGATGTCAGAACCTATGCTGGTGCAGATTAGTGAGGTCAAAGTGTCCTCGCTGATGATTTGACAGTCCGTTAGAGGCTTTCAAAATGCTACATTTCTATTGGTTGACAATTATTATGGCAAGTCAGATTGCTTTCACCATAAAATATTGCTTGTTTGAATCCAGCTCAGGTATATGCCTCATATGACAGGGAGGGCAGTTTGGCACAGACTTTGAATATATTTACAGTCTGGGATGGTGTCTTAATTCTAATACTTGTGGGAACAGAATACTTTGTGCATACAGAAGTCTCATTCATGTGCAGGACTATAAGAATAGGTTTGTGGTATTGTTCTGGAGAAAGGTGCTTTATAAATAAGAAAAGGACTATCAAGGACATAGTTCTTGCAATGTACGGGGTCATTGATAAGAGGACTTTCTAGTTTGATAAACAAACATGTTGTGTACAATACTGTAAAACATTCTGCACCACTTGTAAGTAACACGGACGTATTTAACTTGAATATAGCTTGGTTTTACAAGAATGAGATGACATTGTAGTGTAAAATATCAGATCGTATAACATGCATGTACTCTTACAAACGAAATGAAAAAGGATATATGTGCTTAGTCTGATAGAAAGAAAAAAAATAAGGCACTAAACATATTGGATGATATATGCTATTGGAGGAGGATACGATATACCATTTCACTAAACGTTAATACAATGTGCGAATGTAAGGTATGATTATGGCAGTTTGGACGAGAACTTAAGTGCTACAATGGTGCCATAATGTGATGATGGTTGGTTGAAAACATTGGATGGCTTAGAAAATTACCTGCATATGGTTTGTATTACAATTAATATTGCAACCTAAAACCATAGTCAGTGTGCAGTACATAATGTGAGTTTCGTTTAGATAAGCACTTTGTTTGCAGCAATAACACCTTGCTCTAGAAACACAGTGACGCCCACGTTACATTCACATTGAATTGATATTATATATGACTTAAGGATCCATGTGGTTTGTAATAGAAAATGATGATTAACGATTTGTTGTCATGGATACTAAGTTATCTTACATCTCTCAAAATTGAGGTTACATACTTTTAGTGATAAACCAACAATATATGGGGGAGGTCACCATTTGTTATGCATTATTAATTATTATTTTTCGTGCACATTGCTTTGGAGTTTCATGTTTGAGTATATTACATTAAAGTAGAAGCCTACTCATAATTTTTGAGAAAGTTGGTCATAAATGGCATCGCAGTGCCTCAAGGCACAATGAAATAGTAGTATTTTGTGTGTACAGTTATGTTTTTTGAGAATCATGTTCTAATACTTTTAGAACAATTCCATAGAAAATTTGCATTTTTTTGACACTTTTCAAAACCTAGAATTTTAAAATAATTTGTTTTCAGCCTATGTCACTAACCTACAATTTGAGGTATGGCATATTATTCCTGCTATATAAACATATGGCGAAACTGTTATAATAGTACCAAAATAGCAATTATCCACAAAAATACATTATTCTTTTTCTTGAAAACAGTGCTGGTGACCCCAAGACTTTTTTAAAGTCAATTTGAATATACTTATATTGTCCTGGAATACAATTTATTGTAAAATGGATAAACTCTGGGTATTATAATTTATGAGTGTTCTTCTACCTTAAATTACCATACATGGCTATTACCACACAGTTGTCATGGCAACCTGGTCCGCTGGGGTTTTGGTTGGAGTTTGTAATTCTGTACGAGTTGAATTTGGGGTATTCTGATTGCCTAGTAAATCCCACTGGTCATTAATACGGAGTTTATGTGGTTTAGTGTAGAATCAACACTTGCTCTTGTTGGTAACTTTCAATTCGTGTCCTACTCGTTACTAACTTAATGCACTAATTACTCCGTTAACACCTTGAAAGAGAATCGCGAGAAATGTCACGTGTTTACCTTGAGATGAAATAGTACCATTGTACTATACGAAATGGAGTATGTATTGTTTTGACACAATTGCCAGGTTTAATGAATTGCACTAGAAAATACACTAGTGTTTTTGGTGTTTAGAATAGAATCTCTCAAATTAGTCACAAAACCAACCTCCAACACAATATAATGAATAATGCATGAAACATTGTGCCTTCAGACCAGACATCTTTGGTTTAGTGATTACAATTAATGAATACAGTTAACATATGTGGCACAATGGCACTATTGTATTTCAAGGTAAAGAACTCCCGTGTGTTGAGTGTATTGGAGATGCATTGCAAATTAATTAAAAATTACTTGTACTTGAGATAGTGATGGAAAAGCTGAAAACTTACTAATTATGCAAATCAGGTAATTAATATGCACATATTTGAGTGTAAAACTAATAAGGTCACATACCTATGTATCAAGTTTCATTGAAATGTGATTAGAACCAAAAAAATATGAATTATTATGCTAATTATGGAATTAATATGAACAGATTTTAACCCAAAACCAATCAGGTCCGTGCATTGTCCGAGAGCATCTATGTACCGAGTTTCATTGGAATTGAATAATAAGTAATTGAGACATCAGTGAGGAAGCTGAAAATTGGTCAATTATGGGAATTAGGTAATTAATATGCACAGACTTTAACCCAAAACTAATGAAGTCTGTGCATTTTCTTAGAGCATTTATATGCTGAGTTTCTTTGAAATGTGATGATTAGTATTTGAAATACCAAAAGCTGAAAATTGATAATTATGCAAATTATGTAATTAATATGCACGGATAATAATCTAAAAACTGTTACGTAAGCGCATTGTCCTATTTCCATTGAAATGTGATGATTTACTAATCATTATGCAAATTAGGTATTTAATAACAGATTTTTACTCAAAACTAATCTAATCTGTGCATTAGTTCAATGCATCCATGTACCAAGTTTAATTAAAATCCAATGAGTGGCTATTTAGATATCAGTGGAATAGTCATGGAACAGCTTAAAAAATAGCTATTTAAGTAATTAATATGCATGGATTTATACCAAAACCTAATCAAATCTGCGCATTAGCTCAGAGCGTCTATGTTCTATGTTTCTAAGTTTAATCAAAAACAAACTTGTCGTTCTTGATATACCAGTAGAACGGGCAGACACACACACACACATACACATACACACACAGACAGACTGTGACTACAAAGACTCCCATTGTGTGCTTCGCACACGGGAGTCAAAATAATAAACTTTATTGCCAAATCGTATCCTTCTTGGATTTTGACTCAGGGTGAAAGTAAAATACGACGAGAAGCATAAGTGAAAATGCTAAAATTATGAGAAAAAATATAAATCCAGTTATATGTTTTTAAGTGTATGACTTTCGGCCCCTGTAATTTCTGTCCGGTCCCTTACTGGAGGCAGGTGGCGATGCCAAAAAAACAGTACGCAGACACTGCTTTTCAAATCGAAATTGTCCCTTCTTTGTTGCAGCTCTCATAAAAGTGCATTCTGTTTAGCGATCAATAGCATAGTGACATTGATTTGAGTTGACCTCTGATCCGCCTTTTATCAACTTACTGAACCAACCGGAAGAGCGTCCTCTTTCAACTGAAACGTGACATAAATGGTTTGGGTATGTCTACAAGTCGCCACAACGGAGCGTCCACAAGACGAGAGCTGTCGCGAGAATTCAAGTCGGGATCTTCTTACCTGACGACTTTCAGGTGGAAACAGAAGCCAAGCACATAAGGTGTGCGGATTGGACATGGATACTATCCTACGGTGTACGGTAACAATAATCCTAGCGGCGTCTGTGTATTTTCCCGGTAAGGACACCGCTTATATCTCTCAGTTCAGTTCATTTTATGTCAGTGTTTAATGAACCAGTGTATTAAATGCAGCTTAACCGATGGGCAAAGTTAGTAACGCCTGAATTAGTCGTATATGAAGCTAGTGCGTTCGGAAACATGGTTGCACACGCGTATTTCACTTTAAACCCCGGTTTTTAAAGATGCGTAGTAGCATCCGCTAGGATCGCACTCCGGTCTGGTTTAATGGTGTTACGGTGGAAGATTTTATTTCACGGAGGATGGGCTGACTGACCCGTTCAATATATTTCTCATAACCCATTTTGGCGGAGATCATCATCGTTCGTATGAAAACATTTGACTCGCAATGATTCTGACATCCATTGAAAAATTATATATTTTCGTCAGTGAAAAAAAAAAACAGCGCTACGTGTGACTATTTATTTGGCATTGAAGTAGATAAATATACTTGTAGTTTTTGATCCAAGGAAATGCAAAATATGTTTCTCAAATCAATACAAATGCATTATCTGTAATAGGTAATAATTGACAGATCGTTGCATGTCGGGTAAAAATAACCGACGGTTACGGATAGTATAATTGTAAAAAAAAATGGCAATTAGTTGACAGCGTAGATTGTACAAAACTTGTTTCTATGGCAATATTAAATAATTGGCCATTTGGGCATTTTTAACTTTCTCATTCATTCATTCATTCATTCATTCATTCATTTATTCATTCATTCAAGTGGATGGATTCTTACAAATTATTACGAGCATGCGAGCGCATATTTTAGTCTTTATCATGATTGGGCTTCTTGGAAGATAAATGAGGCAATGTAATGCAATGAACTGGAGGTAACCCAATAATGCCACCTTGACTCATCATGAAAGCGCAACTAGGACACAATCGAGCTACATTCAATGTACAATTGTTAACCCCCGTTGTATTACAGCAAGGCGCTATTCATATACCCTGAAAAGATGGTACTGAAAAACATGTTTTACCTAACATGTTGTTTTAGCTAATTTACCTAAAATGTGATTTCGCTAAACCAAGAAAGATGTTGATAATTTGAAATAAACCATATTCTTACAATAAGCTCATACATTTTAAAGCGGGCGAGTCGTCACCCGCGCATGCGACAGACTGCCACATGCATCGTGTCGTTGTTTACAAACGAGCGTCTTCCCATGGGTCTTTGCGTTTTTAGAGTACGCTGTTAGCGTCGTTTCCCGTGCTCGCGCAGGTGATGACTTAAAGGGCGGCAGTCGTCGCGCCGCGTCCTGTTCGATATGGGACTCATAGCGACGTATACAACGCGTGTAAAATACATTGTTTATTTACATGAAATTCGAACACGCGCTGCGCGACGACCACCGCGCTTTAAACTAGATTACGATTCTCTTAAAGAGTGGTGATCGTAAATTCGAACACGCGCTGCGCGACGACCACCGCGCTTTAAACTAGATTACGATTCTCTTAAAGGGTGGTGGTCGTAAGCAAATATTGTGTTTTACACGCGTTGCGTACATCGCCAAGAGTCCCACATCGAAAAGTACGCGGCGCGACGGCCACCGTCTTATAATTCATGAAATTAATTGAGACAAATTCGCTAAATTGGCATGTAGCTAATTCAAAACGTTTTACAGTATATTGGTTTATTGCATTCCAAACGGAGTAGTTTATTTGAATAGTGTACATAATTCCAATCATTTCAGAATTCACACCTGAGCACAAACGGCCAGACGTGACAATCCCAAGACTATGATGTGTACAAATTCGCTCTAAACGAAATACAATTACGCAAATGCTTTTCTAATTATACACAAAATACGCTCTAATCTTGGAAGGGACCAAATTAATGTGGTCTAATACGCGGATATTACGAGCGTAATACGCCGAACTGCAGATCTGTTTCCATGGAAACACATTGCCCGAAGAAATGATCATCCCATTTGTGGATGATTGTAACATTAATGAATTATAAAATACAGTGATTTTGAGGCAGAATACACATTATCGTACACGCCGCGTCCTTGTAAGCGAGTGACACATTTCGATGTTGTTTTGATCTGTAGTCGACCGAAAATGAAAGTTTGAGTGATTTACCATTTTCTAAATGACGGACGACTACACTGCCAAACATGGTTGTTGCTTAGAACTACTTTGTTTGCATCTATCTACGTGATTTTGACGTCACACACACGTCTCGTCACTAGATGGCGCGATTTACAGTAAAGGTTCTGCGCGTTACATGTATTATGTTTCATCATGGACTAAACATGTCGTTTTAGTTCATACAATTGGTATCCAAATTTACGCATGCGCTGTGTATTAACGATACGTACTGTTAAATAATTTCTCCGACAGTAGAATTACGCTTTTAAAATAAGGCCATTGCCGCAGTGTATTACTGGATTTATGGGGCGTCTCCCACTAAAACCCGCCACTACTGGTCCTATTATTCGGGAAAACGTTAGATTGAGTGAAATATCACTGAGTGGCTGAGTGGCATTAAATACCCGGAGTGCATGATATCCATTTGGAGATAACATTTTATTAATCGAGACTCCCAACTATGTTCCTGATATATCGCCGGCGTTCGATGCGCATATGGTCGCCCACTACTGGTGATCAGTTTCATTCTCTATGGAGCGTCGATGATTTTGTCCATATACCCTTTATGGAGCGCCAATGGGTTTGTCCATATACCCTCTATGGAGTGCCTATGGGTTTGTCCATAGACCCTCTATGGAGTGCCTATGGGTTTGTCCATATACCTTCTATGGAGTGCCTATGGGTTTGTCCATAGTCCCTCTATGGAGTGCCTATGGGTTTGTCCATATACCCTCTATGGAGTGCCTATGGGTTTGTCCATAGTCCGTCTATGGAGTGCCTATGGGTTTGTCCATATACCCTCTATGTTGTGCCTATGGGTTTGTCCATAGACCCTCTATGGAGTGCCTATGGGTTTGTCCATATACCCTCTATGGAGTGCCTATGGGTTTGTCCATAGTCCCTCTATGGAGTGCCAATGGGTTTGTCCACAGACCCTCAATGGAGTGCTAATGATTTTGTCCTTAGACCCTCCATGGAGTGCCTATGGGTTTGTCCATAGTCCCTCTATAAAGTGCCGATGGGTTTGTCCATGGACCCTCCTGCCGATGGGTTTGTCAATAGCCCCTCCATGGAGTGTCGATGGGTTTGTCCATAGACCCTCTAGGGAGTGCCGTTGGGGTTGTCCATAGACCCTCTACGGAGTGTCGATGGGTTTGTCTGAATAAACATATCTTGACTCGCGATGCATGAGTAATGAAGTATAACATTTGATTAGTGCTAAACAACATACAAATATCAGCAATAATAGACTTATATTCCTGTTTTTAGTGTCATTTTGTTTCTTATCTTTAGTAAAGTATCATTTAGCTGACTGGCGCCAATCAGTCTACTATTAATACTTGCATCTATGTATATAGACGCCGAGGTATGGATGGCTATTGAGTTATAGATAATGGGGCTCCGTGACGGTGGTTTCCGCTCCTCCGTGGCACCAATCATTATTCCCTACACTCGTCATCTATTCACCGCTGCAGCTGTTCATTGATTTACAGAGTCTCGGCGTTAAAAGGAAACCTATACTATGTAGTCTGTGTTGTTTGTAGTGTTATTTAGGACATCGTGTATCATGCCCCGCCCTCTTTTTTCAGCCCCTTTAAATGTATTTATTCAACTACGTCGTATAATGAAATTTGGCAATTTTATCTTCGCGGACTATACTCTGTGTATTATTAGAAATTCTTAAAATTCTTCAGTACAAAAAAAAAAAAAAAAAACAGAAACAACAATCTAAGAGGAGATTTTTCGCTATCCAAATTTTGATTTAATAATACATGTATAATAATCCAATTGTCTACGCATTCTAGAAAGCTCGCAAACACAATTCGCATAATTACGATTTTATTAAATTTAAAGCCTCGACAAAATGCTTGAGCAAATTAATAAAATTAGTTTGGCTATATTCAATGATTTAGTATTCAACAGTGGCATTTTTTCAACAACAAACAACGTTCAATTTGTGTGTTTTTTGTTGTTGTTGTTTTGTTTTTTCAGCCATATGCCAAACATTCCTATCATTAGGAACAATTAACAATGATAAAATATATCATTTCATTTCATTTTAACCATATTCGAATATCTAGATATTAAGAAATATTCAATAAAATATCTATTCACTCGAGACATTTTTTTCAAGAAATGTCATTATTTGGAAACATGGTTTTACCGTACAATACTCAATGTAACTAATAAATATAATGTTCCCAAAACTAACAATATGGCCGCCATTACAGTATATATAACTAACGTCTAGTGGCTCGCTCGATTTGTAAAAGCCAATATCCTTATATTATATTGGCATCATGTGTAACATAGTAAAATTATGATGTATTCTGGGTATATTAATTCATATGTAGGTTTCACCTTCACCTTATTGAAGCTAACTTATTTACTGCACCGCGTCGCCAGTGTGACTCACTTCATAATCATGCCTGCGGACAGAACTTCGTCTGACGTCTTTCCTAGATCTATATTACATATACAGAAACCGTGGATACAACTCTGATAAGTAGACTAGCTAGCTGTTGAGACTTCCACGACGACATAGATACTTACAAATAATTACGAGGCAGCGTGTACTTCAATCTTTATGGGCGAATAACCATTGAGCTTCTTGGAAGACAAATGGGGCATTGAACTGAGAATGTTTCGCATAATGTGTCTTACAAACAAACAAAACAACTTACAGAGAGAGAGTGAAATGTTTATAAAAACGTGACACATAAAACATTGTATAATTGTATATAACTGTATGTATATAACTACCGTCCTATTTACAGAAAACTATAATTTAAAGGGCGGCAGTCGTCGTGTCGCGTCCTGTTCGATATGGGACTCATAGCGACGTATACAACGCGTGTAAAATTCATTGTTTATTTACATGAAGTTCGAACACGCGCTGAGCGACAACCACCGCGCTTTAAGTATTTGAGTATTTATAAATTTAAGTATTGAAATTTCGGATCCATTTCAACTCGAATACGGGACAAGTCCGTCTAGACATTGTTTATATGATTCATAGACACGAAGCAGTTGTACTCTACTGCTTCAAAAAGTAGTGAAATTATAATTTTACGGCGATGCATCTGAAACTACAACTTCCCAGCGGAGCATGGTAATGATGTAACAACCCCGATTCAGTGTTATATAGCATTTTGTCGTTAGCGAAACGTTGTCCTCCCAATAACGTCAGACTAATATGAAATTCTATATTAGTCTGAGCAATAACACCTCTCTCGGATTTACTCTATATTATAATAGCATAATTACATAACAAAAATGAATTACTCAAACAGACACATATATTCTATTTGGTTACTTTTGCACGCACTGTCTTTAACGATATATGTCGTAACATGTCATGCTGGCGGGTTAATGAAATCTCAATACGAGCTTAGTGGCAAGGGGATTGGAAATAGTAGCACTAGATAGTTGTCAAACTAATTTTAGAAGGAATTACTTGATTTATGAGATGGGGGCATAAATCCTTTGGTACATATTCGATGAAGATTAGACGCGAATTGAACAAGTCAGGCGAATTGCGATGTGATCTGGAAATCTTAAATGCAAATTAGTGAGTCTGTGAAAAAAGCCTGTTCGTATTCATCTCAGATCAATTCATCTGTACTTTTTTACTCCCCGAAAACGTGGACTATTAATTTGGGTTCGTTCCATCCGTCCGTCCGTCCGTCTGTCCGTCCGTAAGTACGTCCGGAGCTATGTCTCGGACACCCATTGACGGATTTCATTCAAACTTTACATGAAGACAATACATAATGTCTTACATATGCGCGTCAAGTTACTTTATGATCGGAGAAAAATGGCCGACTGGCGGCCATTTTGGATGTAAAATTTGCTATTTCTGGTACTTAAACGTGTCCGCAGCAGTATCTCAGAGATGACTAGGCAGATTTGGATCAAAGTTGGTATGGTGATCATACATATTGGGTTATAGCTGCACGTCATATTTTTTTCCGTGATTCGAACAAATAGGGCCGACTGGCGGTCATTTTGTTTTTCATGGTACCCATGTTACTTTCTCTTGAATGCAATGAACATTTCTCTTTAAATTTTGTACAAAGATAGTATACCAAGGGATACATGCGCACCAACATTATTTTTGTGATTTAATTCAATATGGCTGGCTGACGCCCAGTTTTTATGTAAAAGCACTATAAATCGTCATTTTTACATGTCCGGAGTTGTTTCTCAGAGATGACTAGGCCAATTTGGATCAAAGTTGGTATGGTGATCATATAGTTACATGTCATATTTTTTCTGTGATTCAAAATAATATGGCTGACTGGTGGCCATTTTGTTTTTCATGATACCCATGCCTACTTTCCCATGAATGCAATGAACATTTCTGTTTAAATTTTGTACAAAGACAATATACCAATAGATACAACAACATGAAGATTATTTTTGTAATTTGATTCAATATGACTGCCCAATGCCCAATTCTCGTGTAAAAGCACTAAATCATATTTTTTTACAAATCCATCTTCTATTAATGTTTTCAATCAAATTTCAATGACTTCATCAGCATCAAATTGATATGTCAGATCAAAAAAAAATGGGATGGGGACTGCGTCATTAACAATGACTTGTTTTTTACAAAACGTGTGATACGTGCGATTGTTTACTACAAATACGTCCCAACAAAGAATTAGGGAGAAGGTGTAAATCGTTCTATTGTTAGAAGGTTTGTTTTCTCCGTGGGGTTCTAATAAGCTTCCGATAAGCTGATGATTGACGTCAGTTCCATAGCTGGATATGATTGGTCAACTGATGATTGACGTCAGTTCCATAGCTGGATATGATTGGTCAACTTATGTTGAGGCTTTTATGAATTGTGTCTGTCCTTCACACCACAGTCCCTCAACGAGTGTCTACACACATAGAAGCAGGAACTTTATCGTCACTATCCTCTAAAATATAACCATGACGACAATTTTCACTTAGTATGGACTCATTTTAACATGTATATGTTGTTCTTCGAATACATACAAGGCAAGATATGTTAAGACAAATAAGCATTTATGTCACTATAAAAAGTAATGTCTATTTCTAAGAAAAATGCAAGAATAAGATTACAATGTAAAAGCACTGTGATGCAGGGCAGTGGTGATGCAACTTTTCTATTTGTAAGATGTGAGAACTAACCTCACACTCTGATTTTGTAGGTAAATATAATAACAACAATAAACACACAAATAAATTAGAATACTGAAATTTAATTTATTGCGAATTATTATACATAGTATTTGGATCTGAACATCCAGTGTGGAATGACACAGGTTTGTTGAATTTGTTCGTGAGTTCTGATACACCGGAAGTATAATGACCCCCTTCCCACCACATGCGCCGGCTTACGTTGGAAATGGAATAAACTTTCTTTTTTCCAAAGAACTCGGAAAGCGACAATTCGCTGGGATGTTTCAAATTTCGACAGATTTTGTTAGTGACTGAATAGTAATTTTGTATTTTTATACTATGTATATTTAAAATAAATATTCTATGTTCTTACCCAGGGGTCTATCAGACGTATACTGGTCGGAGTATCATGTGGACAGATGTAAAATACGGGAGGTTCCAAACTACGTCGAGGCTGTTGTCTCTTAACGGTACTGGAAAAGACGCCATCAACGGCAGTGCGAGTGTACAAGTACTACAATCCGCATACTTCGAAATCAAGACAGCACTGACATTCGACTTCGACGACTCGCTCGTCTTCTGGGGAGAAATTGTTGGGGGCGCTATTTATAAGATGGACCTGCTGACTAACGATATAAGATCAATTTACTCGAATAATCATAGCTCCGTGACATCGCTCTCCGCTGACTGGCTGGCAAAAAAATTGTACTGGACAGATTCGTTTTTTAATTGGATAAAAGTGTCCGACTATAACGGCACATATCACCGAACGTTGGTTCACACAGGAAAACAATTTGTTGGCGGAATTGTTGTAAACCCTTTATCTGGGTAAGTTCAATAATACGTTCCATGATTCATTCCTTTACCAACACTTCATAGCATATACAATGCATGTTATCCACTATTATCATGTGAAGGTCGTTGCAGTGACTGGTCTGCGTTCCAAGCCTCGTTCCCGTGTCTCCCGCAACGATACGATACAGACTCGCCACCGATACACGCCATCAATGCGAAAGTTTACCCAAATAGCAAGCAATGACGGCCACATGATAACAATCATCCTGCGTAACAACTTGAAGGGCATGCGTTATACTGCGGTAACTGTTGTCTGGGGCTGATGCTAGCCGAGAGAATGAACAAAAGTGTATTGTTTGTATGCTATGAATACTAGTACTCGACAAAACATACGTTTGTGGTATATTAAATGAGAGGACGCATGAAAGCATAATTACGATAATATCATGCGAATACTTGCTAAAAATTTGTGTTGGTCGCCTCTCAAAATACCGAAATAGTCAAAAACTTGGTTTTGTTTGGTTGCTCCAAAAGGTACATGTATTGGTCGGAAAGAGAACAAGAACCACGAATAGAAATGGCCACACTCACTGGCGAAAACAGACGCTCCTTAGTTTATAACATCTCTTACTTCCAACGCCCCCAGGGACTGACGATCGACTTTAACGAAAACAGGTAATATCACGTGACACAGTCTCATATATATATATATTGTGCGCATATACTTCAAGTTGCGGCCTGGTCACTGTGCCGTACATGTACAGTGTTCGGCACATAGCACCGAGTTGGCAATTTGGTTAATTGATTCACGTGAATGCAATACAATGGAGAAAATGAGGATGTATTATTATAAATAATTATTCAAGACGAATACTCTATGATATTAAAATATGATTTAGGTCCAATCAACTTGAAGCAAATGTTACACAGCCTGCAATTCAATCTTAAAGAGCGGTGGTCGTCGTGTCGCATGTGTGACACTTGTGTTGATAAACATTGATTTTCCCACAATACAATGCGCTCTTATAATGAAAATCACGAGTACGAGTTTTGAACTCGGTGCAACGTGCACTGATTACAGCTAGTGACTACCTCGATACCTTCCAATTACCAAATAAATTACCCAGATAAAGCTTGGCAACGTGTCAGTTTGTACTCGTTAGTCTACGCAACAATCAAACTCATTATCTTTGTTCATATGAGATCCATGTCTCGCGCATGCGTGGCACAACGACCCCCGCCCTTTAATGAGAATAACATCACTTTATGCTGTTCGAATCATCGCCACCACCACTACCACCGCATCGTGGCCCACATCCTGATGATACAGTTTTAATGGTGGTTACCATAGTTACTCTGCAACTTGAGCAGCAATGACTTCTTTTACCACCTCCTCCTCTGCTTATACATTATAATGAATATAAAAATTTCTTCGATTGTAGGTTATTCTGGGTTGATATAGAATTATCGTTGTTGTCGTCAATATCTCTGAGTGACAGTTCTGCAAACCCACTCTATCACTCAGTAGGGGAGTACTTGGCATATTACCTAGATGTTGACTCGGTACGTATTTTTTCACCGCCATTCACGCAGCTATGGCGTAGTGTGGAGGTCTTCATCTATTCGCCAATATATAAAAACTATCTTATAATAATAATATAATAATGATTACGAGTTTGTATAGCGCCTAATATCCATCTTGATGATGCCCCATGACGCTGTCACAGAAATGCTCTCTGAAACATATAAGTTTTGAGTTTAGATTTGAAAATGTTTAAACTGGCTGCAGAACGAATGTCTGTTGGTAACTGATTCCATGATGACGGAGAAGCATGTGAGAATGAGCGATCGCCATATGTCTTGAGTCTGGTTCTGGGCACTGTAAGTGTAGATGTATTACTTGAATGAAAAGTTCTACCAGGTTGACGGAGTTGAATTAGGTCTGATATGTAGGTTGGTGTTAATCCATGAAGTGCCTTGTATGTGAGTAGTAGAATCTTGAATTGAATTATGTAAATAAATGGGAGCCAATGTAGTTGATGTAGAACAGGGGTAATATGATTGAACTTTTTTGAACGTGTGATGAGACGAGCAGCACAATTCTGTGCCCTTTGAAGTAGATGTATCTGTGTGTCGGGTAAGCCATATAGTAAGGCATTGCAATAGTCCAGTTTAGCAACAAGAATGGAACATACCAATTTAGAACAGGTTTTAGCGGATAGATACTGTCGGATGTGTCCAATACGTCGGATGTGCAAGTAAATACTTTAATATGTCGTGGTGATATGTTTTCTGTACTGAAGGGTGTCATCAAATATTACTCCAATGTTACGAGCGGCTTTACTGGTTTGATAGATGTAGATCCAAGTTGAAGACATTTAAGTGGATTGGGAAACAGGTCATATTTGGAACGGATTAGCTAATATACATGAACACGACACAAATTAACTTGAGATCAACCAAGGTTCCGTTGGTCTATATGGTTCGGTAAACTTGTCAATACTATATTTACTTGATTTATCTAGGCCAAGTTCATATCATTTTGTTAAATTATCCTGGGCCACGATAAATTAATGTCAAACGTTGGTTGACCTTCTTGTTGTATATTTAAAGTGGTATTTGTGACTAATGATGCATTGATGTTCTGTAAATGTGATGTGTAGCTATAAATCGCGCCCTCTCGTGGTGTAGAGCTTTGATGACGTAATACCTATGTATTACAGCGTCGATATTGTTTTGGTCTGTAGTCGTCAATCAATGAAGATTATGTTTTTGTTATTTATTTTGTTTTTATTTGATTTTAATACATTTTAGATAACGAAAGACTACACACCCAGATCCAGTTGGCGATTTGAACAACATTGCCTTCACCCACGTCTTTTGACGCCACAGAAGCCCTCTATCGGTAGAGGGCGCGATTTATAGGAATGGTGTGCTTATTGTTGTTTTTGTTTTTACGACAGGAATTTTTCTTTCTTTCTGGAACTCTATCTAAACAAGTGTACATCCAGTCGCGATTCAACCCAGCGATGCGCACACAAATGACATTCCAGCATTTTAATCCGTTATCGTTAATTGTGTACGATGGAGCTCGGCAACCCCGGGCACAAAGTAAGTGTTACGTTATCTTCTATGTTATCTTTTGCATGGAATCATCATAATCCAACGGTTGCGTCACAGTTGTGATAACCTGATATGTAGACGTAGTAGCGCCCTCGCCGGCCGAACGGCATCAGACCGTTGGGTTTGGAGCACCACGGAGGGCGCAACTCAAGCGACTCGTCAGGCTACAGTTGTGATTGACAATGAAACTAAGGTCACGATTGTATGACTTTATTTGCATAACTGCGTGTGTTTTACATAATTAATAATGGATGTAAACAAGTATTACACTCCGACTAGGCATTGAAACATTTAATCCAATAGTTGATTTCTGTTAATTGCGAGATCTCGTGTAATGCGTGAAAGATGCTCTTCTTCTTCTTCAAAAATCGAATGATTTGATTTTGAAATTGAATTTCTCGTTGTTATAGTTCAATGTCAAAATCTTTCAGAGAGGAATATGATGTTGAGATATTTTTAGTTCGTCAAACGTGGCCGTCATCAAACTATGTGTAAAGCACATTATTAAGCGCGGAAATAACCCAAAAAGGTTTCGCCCACGCGATGTTTGACGCCACTACGGCGCTATAACCTTTGTTTGTCCTGTTTTTACGTTCGATTTCATACTTAACGCAGTTGGCACAAGAGGTCATTATGAAATTAAAGTGGGAAGGTCGTCACCAGCGCACGCGCGGGAATTGAGTCCCAAGCGACGATAACAACACACGCTAAAACGCAAAGGCTCATGGGTAGACGCTTGTTTGTAAACAATGACACGCTATGGCCATCTGACGCATGCACAGGTGACGACTCCCCCGCTTTAAGCATATATCTCTGTTTATTACTTGTGCACGCAACAAAATTCATTTTGTAATCTAGTCTTGACTTCCTGAAACGCTAATCACCTTGAGTTTTGCTTCTGAGCGACGTCTACATTTTGCGTTATCTTAAACAGAACAATCGATATGAACGTAAAACATACACAAATGTGTAATTTATGCAAAACATCAGAATCGCAACTTCGATTGGTTGGTGTATCAAAGCGAGGGCAAATACAAACCTATCTCGACTCCTTCTTTTTTATCGTTCCTAAAACAGTGTTTAAATGGCGTCAGTAAGCACAAATTCAAGTAAAACCTGTTCCGGGTATTTTTTCACGATGTTTCACCAAAAAAATATATTTTTTTAGGCGAAACCAATTCATGAATCCAAAAATAAAAAAAAATTCCGAATATAACATATCATCTTAGTTACACTGAACATGCACCTCACCATACTAATTAATACTATAATTAGTTCCATAATTAATATGCCGGTGATATTGGGGTAATCTTACTCATCATGATGTTCATTTGTTTATATGATTTACATTTTTTTAATTTTTACATATATTGTGGTGAATTTGTGCTTAAATTAGTTTGTATATCTGATATATATGTTTCCTTAATATCCGCACTGAAACATGATGTGTATTGCATAACAATATGTTGTTTTCTATTTGTTATGAATACTTTCAGGATTTTTAATGAACGATGAAAATTATAAACTGCTTTTAATATTTCTTTACAATTACTGCAAATATGTATATAATTTAAGTTTGTCTCCATTCAAGAGAATTTAAAACTCGCTGTACATTTTTACACTCTCAAATATATACTATCCAAATTTTGTAAATGAAAAAATGGACAGCGAATTGTGACCAGTCTCAGGCTTTTGACAGGTCACTTTTTCATTTTATTTTTTTACATGTTTTAGTATTTTAATAATTAGAAAACAATGTATGTACAATAAATCTTCAGCCACTGTCGCATACAACCTCACTGTCATTTACCACTTCCGGGTCACTGAGAATGTTCTAGAACCGTACTGTGTCTGGGTGGAATAGTCTAGATTTTTTTTAGAAACTGGTTGAATAGGTAATAGAACACTGTAGGAGGCAATAGAAGGTAATGGAACATTCTAGAAATTTGTAGTAAGTTCCAGACTCATTATGTATGCTGATGTAATGGTCTATTTATAGACAGTGGGGGGTATATATAGGGGAGTGGTTCAGCACTGAGTTCAGATCGAAGATCTCGTTGAATTGTATTGGAGTTTAAGTATCTAGTCATTGGAGTAGTGGAGTTTTACCGCGTTATTGTACTTGATGTTTGCAGAGTATAATAATACCAGTAGTAGTTGAAACCTCATCTGTTGGCTCCGTGTTCGTATTTTATCATCGCCGCCAGGGAAGTCTTTCTGTTACTGTTGCCATTTTGGTATTTGAACCATCACACCTGTACTATACCAATTACGGTAATATTACGTTGCGTGTGACAGCCACGTTGCCAGACTATGAGTACAGGATACGAATGGCGCATTTTTTTTTTTTTTTTTTAAGCTACGCTTAGTAACAAGACGGAAACCACATCTTGATTACTAGATGGTCATTCACATTAATTGCATAATCACATTTCGTGTTGTTTCGTCCCGCGCGTAATTCTGACTGTGAATTTATTTACAGACCCATGTACATTTCAAAATGGCGGATGTCAGCAGATTTGTGCGAGTTACCCCGGAGGATATAAATGTCTTTGCGAAGACGGGTTCGTGGTGGATGAAGGTGAAAAAGACTGTATTCTTTGTGAGTTTTATGATCATTTTCGTGTTTTGATATTTTATGTAAAAACCGCCGCAGTCGTTGCACAGCGCAAATCTGAATTTCATATCTTTTACCCGTGTTGTATAGGTAGCGTACTATGTTGCGTAGGACTCATATCGCACATAATGCGTTACTAAGACAACGTTACTTTAATTTCCAGAAGATTTAACAATATATGTAAGGATTATTGAAAATAATAGCATTGAGATTAACATACAAAATTGTAACTACAAAACCTCATGCATATTCATGGCTAGTAATATGTTAACATTATGTATGCGTATACGTATTAATTTATTCTAGATGTGCCTACGCATGCGCCGATAGTAGACTCAGGCAACTCCTTATCGCTGGTGCACATCGCTGGTATAGTGTTAGGAAGTGTCGTGCTATCTTTTATTCTTCTCGTTCTGATATGCTATTTTTACAGGTAAATGTGTGTTCGTAATCTCATTCTCATAATTTTTTTTTTAATGTTTCGCCATTTATGAAGACACAGTGTACAAACAATGAAAGAATTGCTGCTCACATATTTTCACTCATCGCATCTTGATTAAAATTTTCTGTATGTAGAGATATCGACCGCGTTATATTACGCAATAAGGCAAGCCGCATTGTATGTGATATACATGGCTGGCCATTTGAAGGTCTGTGTAATATATAATTCTAATCAGAATGAACTATAAAGGCAGGTTTCTACGAACAGATTTATCTGATCAGATCGCTTCTTGCAAACCGCAAAATCTAATGTCTGTTCAGATTTAAAAAAATCGGATCAATCGGATCAGATTAATATGACCGCGCATGTAAACTTCTGAATCTGATCGATCAATATAAACCGGCGTTTAACACTACGTAAAATTACCATTGACGTCGTTCAACGAAGAGGGGAAATCTTTATGCATGCTCATCCGAAGTGTTATTGTTTTTTTAAATAAAAATGCAGATCTTAATTTAATAGAATGATTGCTAAAAAAACAACGACCTGTGTCTCGGTTTGCAATGTTTTTTGAACTAATTGATATCTACTTGTGGAAAATGAAAGTAAATATTACTAAGACAAAGGTCATGGGTTTTAGGAGAGACGGGAGATTCCGGTCTGTATGGATTTCATAAAGTGAAAATGTTATCAATTCAGTAAATTATATTACAACTACTTGGGTAGTTTACATTCAAGTTCTGGGCCAGGGTACAAAGCTCACAAACAGTTATCTGTCACGACACGAAAAGCTATATTCCGTATCAAGAGTTCACTATCAAAATTTACAGTATCAATTAAGACTGCTATTATAGTACATTGTAGTAACTGTGGATTTGTTAAAGTGACAGATATTAGAACTGTACTTCACAATTTTGTTTAAATATGTATTGAAACTCCCGCCTAATGCAATAAGTAATTATCGGCTATTAGGGGGTAAGCTTGGTCAGTACTATCTAAAATCCCGACGCTATATTAGAATTGTTAAATACTGGCTTTTTAATTTGAAAATAAATCAGAAATGTATATAAGTGTTACAAATTTCAGTTCGATTGCGCTGATTCGATTTGTTGGGCATGAGGGCATACTGAGAAAGAATGCTTTCATTCTCGCACGGCCTCAAGAGATGTGACTCAAGCAGGGGGTCATGGGAATGAGTGGTATTTGCGAAACTATTCAAAGCCAGGCGTCAAGACATTGATTACCAGCACCGACAAAGAGACGTTCGTGATCACGAAAAGTTAAATCAATATAAAATGTTTAAAACTTCGCTTTGTATTGATTCTCAAATCCTCAGCTACGAGTCTCGTTATGTAGGGGTAGAGTGTGTTTTTACACAGAGTAATGATTGAAACTGGTAGATACTTACATGTCCCTAGGGCAAATAGGGTTTGCCTGGTCTATATTTCATACGCAGTAGAAGACGAGATCATTTTGGTTTTAAATGGCCATTCATATATAGTATATACATCACTGGTACAGAACATATCCAAATATAAGAAAATTTGCATATCTCATGCGTAGTACCAACCTCAATACACTGAATAAACTTTGCATTTCAGAAACGATACATGTATATGTAACAGTTTTCAGCTTTTTTTTTTTAAATTTTTTTTTTAAAGTTGTGTACTTTTTGGGTCGGCACGGAAATACAAACTCTAATTGTTCAATTTGTTTGGTTGTCTTCAGTGATGATTATATCTTTGAGTTGGCATTCGACTTGACTCCGTGTCTATCAGGGGCGGTTTTATTGTCAGGCTATGATGGTAATACAGAGTGAAGCAAGTAAACGAGAAGACGTTCCGCGATGTGAAGCTAGGCGATTAGGTGCCTTACGCGATCGTCGGTTCGAGTCACGCACGCAGTACCCGTTTTGTTTTGACTTTGATTTGACGTAGTATTTGCCATGTCGTTTATTCGGTGCTATTTGCTTGCTTCACTTCGATCTTGTCGCGTTTCCATTCACGGCGCCACGCGATATGTGCATTTTTGGCTCATGCATAACAATAGTAACTCAATTTTAGCGAGAGACACATGTCGTTTGTTTTTCACTTCAATTTTTCAAGAAGTCTGTACTATTTCGTAATATTCTAAAAAATAATAATAATAGGGTAAACGAATATATTGCATTTATGGTAGTGTTGAATTAATCTCAGTGATTTTTTTGTGATAAATCTTATGCTTCGCCATGTTTTGCAGGAGAATTCAAGTCACTCGCGATCAGAAGTCTAGGTCTGTCGGATTGAAATGGGTTACGGTCGAACAACGAGCCAAAAGCGACGTCGAAGAGGACGACTGTTCACTCAGCGATGGTGCGGATGAATCCTCTAAACAACTCAAGTGTAACTATGGCGACAAAGAAGATAACCCGCAGAGAAACGGAACATGAGGATAATATTGATAAAACGTTAAATGTTCGTATTGACTGAAAACTAATTCGTTGTTTGTCTTGTCATCTGTCGATCGTCATGAAGGAAAGTTTTTTTTTGTGTTTACGTTAAGGTTGTATTACCTATAGATTTGTGCTACAACTGAGCGCCTAGCATCGCGACAATTACAGAACATGTATTTAATTTCATGCTTAGAGTCTTAATTCGAAGCAAATAGCATACGTGTTGGAAATAGGTGTAGTAATTGCGCAACACGATACGAAGGTGTATCATAGGAAATTGAGAGGCGCCTAAAATCCCGGACGCTGGATGTTGATGCGTTATGAGGAACGAGATAGTGGATACGTTAAAAAATAATTAGGATGTGTACGGACTTCTACTAAACGTACACACATTTAGAAATGTTATAGTCGATATAATGCCTATAATTTATAGAGCTGGTGTGGCGTCCCGAGAACGAGGCCCCTGAAAATCATGAACCTATCATACGTTCACGGAAACCAGATACATACTAGTACGTCCGGCCTGTTGTTTTTTTCAATGATGTGGCCGCGAGACTTTGTGACTTTTGCGTGAATACCGAGCCTAGCTTGATTGACGAAGCAAATCACTTACTTTGTCGCAATGTGAGAGTTAACGAAGTCACGTGACCAATCACGCACGCAGAATGTACTAAATAATAGAATAATTTAATACGTACGATGCAGTACTATGTTTCTGTCGAAAATTGCAAATATGTGAATTAAAACAGCTTATAATGAACTTGTCTGTGTGTAACGTGGTTTTGATCGTATGTTGAATTGATATACATGTATACATAGTAAGGGGGTTATTGTAGTTTATGTATTTGTCATCTTACTTCCCCTTCCAGACTCCGTGAAATGACATACCGAAAAAGTGTGCCGTACGAAATGGTTACGTCGATGGACTATATAAAATGATATTTAATAATTTTAACCAACGAAAAGCAGATTTGGATGTTAGTCAGCTCTTATTTCATGACGAGCAAAACCGCAGGGTATGCAGTGTTGTTCACCAACTATATATGGTTGTAAAAGTGAAGCCAATTTAAGTGGTACCACTTAGTTAACTTTTTAAATTTACTGAAATTTAGTGAATGGCGGCCATTTTGTCAATATTAGAACGATTTTGTCATTGGTGTCTATGTCGGAGATATGAAATGAAAACTTTATATAACATTACTCGTTATTTTGGGTTTTAAAACCATGACAAAAAAATGTTACATTTTGTTCAATCTATAATTGTTCGAAACTGTCAAAATTTGAATAATAAATGTTTTCCAAAATACGGCACTTTAACACACAATTTGCAGTTTCATGTTACCATGGGAACAAAAGCTATATAATCATTAAAATTAATAAACCAATGAACAATGTCATGCTATTTATGACTAACTTTCTTAAAAACTATGGGTCGGCCTTTTCTTTTTAAATATATATGGCTAAATCGACTATTATTTTCAGAGGGCGGGGCAAGGAAGGTTGTTTTGTACTACCGGTATTCTCGGTGTATTTTTGTCATGTAAATAGCGACAATACAATCGAAACGGCATGATCTTTTTAACGGCACTTCCCGACAGATTAAATCCAATGATGCAATGCAACCAAAAATCTTCAATTGATAAGTGCGTTTTTCGGCTTTGTCCATGTACACTGAGGTTCGAAAGACGCCATACTCAGAGTCGGTGGCCGATACTGAATACCACCAAGTATTAATTCAACTCAAATATTACACACAGAGTATCATATGAGAAAACAAGTTTAATATCTTAAGTTTAACATTTTATAAGTGTATAATACATCACCTTGGAATTTACATTTGGTCACGTGTATGTTCCTCCAAATTCTAGTTAGCAAATTTTACCGTGTGCCGTTCAAGTTCAAAGTTCATGCAACAATTCACGTCACATATCCTGACGCTTGATAGGATTTTTTTGAAGTAATAATAGTTAGGTCATGTTCATGTTCAAATCAATCTACTCTAAACCTCTAACATGGCGTGTTTTTCTTCTAAAAATAGATCCATTACGCACAACTAATGAAAACAACATGGCGGATTAAAAAGCGCCGGAAATGACCTAACAACGCCAACACGACTTATTTACATATTAGATCAGTTCCCTTTTATAAAACAACTAAGATTTGTAAATTTAATTTCAAATTCGCCCAGATATTTACCAAATATTGGCCTCATCTGACGAACCTCTGAAATACTCGCATTTCTACAAAATACCAATTGAGAGGGCCCGGATTAGAATACGTGGTGATGTTTCAGCTCTGCGGAGGACTATATGATAGTTGAACAATGTCGACAACTTGTGTTCAATATTGCACCTCGATATACCCACACTGATATGTAAATAAAAACCATAAAATAATGTTGCCGCGCGCAGACAAATGCGCATGCGTTCGGATTTACTGGTGCGTATCTATTATTTCAAATTGCGTGCGCGTATGAGTAGTTCGGTATTTCATCATTATTGTAATACAATTTATTTATATCTATATTTAGTACTTCCGCGGAGATATATCATAGCGTAATTATAGATCATTATGCTAAAAGTCGTGGCAGAATACATCGGCGATGTATTTGCCGACACATCACCATCCATTGATGTCATCATTATACCCATGTCTGAGGTATTTCATCGTCAGGAAAGTTTGACAACTGGTCGGTCGATGATCTCACTGCTAACTGTTCTGTCATTACTGAAGGCCATCGTATTGGTCTATCAGGATGTAAATACTCGGACAGCGCCATCTGTAGGCCACGTGCCATATAGGAAAAACGCTGTGGGGGAAAACGTTAAATCATTTACACGATTAATGTTCATGTAGCAAAATCAACTTTCAAAGTTTCTCAGTTTTCAGACTCAATCACATGGACGTATGTATTCTTTAAATCGATCAGTATACGATGAATATTTTGCGTTAATTTCAAAAGTCTCGACAAATTATTTAAGGTAGGAGCCTATTCATATTTTTTTGAGAAAAATTGTCATAAATTATGTTATTACGTGCACACGTGAATATATAGTTCAATTCTGACCACATATTATTTAAAAATGGATTTTCGGTTTCATTGAACACAGCGCTGAAGCAATATACATTTTTTTCATAAAACCCTGATTTAAAAAAAAAATCAGAATAACATCAAGTCCCACAGTTATGATTAAAAATTATTTTTTAAGTAACCAGCCGAAAGTTGTTGATATAATCTCTGTGAAATAGCCGCCATCATTCAAGTTCTCGAAAAATAGGCTGGCGTCTCCCGTATTTTTTCAAAGTCAACTTTCTTTTATCAAGTTGATTGACCTGGAGTACAATATATTACTATATCATGGATATATTATGGGTATTAATGAGTAGGCGGCTTAGTATGCTTTTACCTTAAATTATTTCCTCAAGAGATCTTATTTTAAAACTGTACGAGTGTCAAATTTTACAAAATGTAATCGAACCTACCATTTGCATGTCGGTTTGAAGAGTTTCCCTGTAAAGCGCCATCCCTTGTTCAAGATCCACTGCGTTCGTTCTTACCAGACTCACTTCCGAGTTCACTCTTTCGATGTTGTCTTGTAAGCACGTGGCCATCTGTGAAAGGTCGTTAGACCTCTCCAATAACATACTGGTGACAGTGAATAGTTGCTTACAACCGTGACATTTCGGCAGTCGTTTAACACTTTTAATGGTATCTTTGACAATATTGTCATATTTTGAGGCTCCTAGTTTAATGATTGGTGCTTGGTTTCTTGGTCTGTAATAAAGCGTATGATAATCTCAGAAATTGGTTCGCCGCGTCCCGTTCAATGGACAGGTTCTCGATCGAGTCTGACAGGGCATCTTAATATCTATTACATCTACTATTTGCAAAATGCAACGCACCGGCTGCTGACAATAATCGTTTTTCAATCCTGAATAATCGATAACTCTGACAGGAAAACGGACTATTTATACCATCGATTAAAAACGTCAAGAAGGGATAGCGCGTAATAAAATTTAGTAATTTAGTATCTATCTTGCAATTTGGGTGTCCGAGTAGGAGTCTTGCGTACCGGTAGCGGCACTCCCACTATTTTCCAGGAAATGAACGATCCGTGGTACATCGTGGCCATTCCAGGATGTAAACTCGTTCTTACAATAAATTAAATACAACATTAGTATATTAGGCCCATTTTGTATGATATTTCCATTGTGTGCATGCGACACAAAACTTAATATATTGCCAAATATTTTGATTTCAATTATTTCCATGAGATACCAAATTTAGTATTTTTTGGCAAATTTGTAATTCATTATCAGTATCAGTGTGTTTAAATTTCCGCGAATTAACATTATGGCATTTTACGTCTGTCAAATAACGGCCAAATAAATACGTGGAATCATTAATTACTAAAGACCTAGCGTAGAATTGGAAATTACTCCAAATAAACAAATGTTCAATTCGGGAACAGGATAATAGTATATTTGGTTATTGATGAAAT